GTTTTTCTCCCTTGGCTGTTTGCATATCATCATCTAGCATTATGATATCCAAACTTTAGTTAGAAGGCTTCCACATCAGTTCCTGTTCCATTGTTTCAAGACCTAGTCTCTAGATAGGCTGTGTCCTCTATAGTAGGGTCTTATCTACTAGTTCTGGGAGAAAACCAAGAGATTTGGCAATATCCGGTGTTAATTTGGGAGTCTCCTGGACCACATTAACCAACCACTCAAAGGGAGGTCTCTTCTGTCTGGCACTGTGTTCCTTGCCAAGCAACTTCAAGGTGTGTGAAGATATTAATGTTCAGACACTGTATGTGCATTTCTAATGGGGTTTCAATGGCATCACTTTTCCCTCTAGGATTCTGAACACCCCAATATTCATTCATCTCTACTCTTTTTTGTCCCATCTGGCCTCCCTTCCCCCTCCCTCCCTAGGCACAGTGTCCCCATTATCCCCATCCTCCTACCAATACCAACTGACTCCCATCATCCATCCATTCCTTACTTCCCTCCCTCCCCCACACCATGGCCTTTTGCAAGTCTCTCCCTCCTCTCCTCCACGTGGAATACTGACACATTCCCCACTCCCACCACCCCTGTAACATCTTTTCCCTACTTTACTCTTTCAGGTTGTTTCTTTTCCTTTACCTCCAGGTATCCTTCTCCTTCCCTGGCTCCTGCTGTTACATTAGAATTTATACACTCACATATAGGGGATTGGTGCTACAATAAAAAAATGAGGGAGAACATACATCACATGCTTTTCTGCATTTGTGTTATTTCACTTAGTATAGCAATATCTAGTTCCATTCATTTATCTGGAAAATTCATAATTTCATCTTCTCTTACTGATCAGTAGAACTCCATTGTGTATACATACGACATTTTCATTATCCACCCATCAGTTGAGGGGCAGTGAATTGTTTACATTTCTTAGCTATTGTGAAGTGAGCACCAATAAGCATGAATGTGCAGGAATCTCTACAGGAGGATGAATCATTTGAGTATATACCAAGGAGTCTTATCACTAGATCATATGATACATTCATTTTTAGTTTTATGAGAGTTTTCCACACTTCTTTCTATAACGTTTGCATGAGTTTGCACTCCCACCATCAGTGAAAGAACTTTCTTCTTTCTCCACATCCTCTCCAGTATTTGGAGTCATTGCTTTTTATCTTAGCCAGTCGGACTAGAGTAAGATGGAATCACAAAGCAGTTTTTATCTGTGTTTTTTTCTAATTACTCAGTATATTGGCACATTTTAAGGTGCTTCTTAGCCATTTTTTGCCCTGGCCTGTGGGGCTTCAACGTTGGGGGGGTCGGGAGAATAACCTGAAGGAATGAAACAAACAAGGAATGTGAGGAAATGGAGGCAAGACAAGGATCTGATCAAGCCTCAAAATTTTATTGAAAGCAGCAGGCATATATACTGGTAGTTGGGA